TCCCAGCACTTTGGGAGGCCAAGGTGGATGGATCACCTGAGGTCAGGAGTTTGAGACCAGCCTGGCCAACATGGTAAAACCCCACCTGTACTAAAAATACAAAAATTAGCCAGGTGTGGTGGTGTGTGCCTGTAGTCCCAGCTACTTGGGAGGCTGAGGTGGGAAAATTGTTTGAATCTGGGAGGTGGAGTTTGCAGTGAGCAGAGATCACACCACTGCACTCCAGGCTCAGGGACAGATTGAGACTCTGTCTACAAAAAAAAAGAAAGAAAAAAAAGGTTGAATAATACTGCATTGTATATGCATACCACATTCTGTTTATAATAATCCATTGATCAACATTTGGGTTACTTCCATCTTTTGACAATTGTAAATACTGTTGCTGTGAACATCATTATACAAGTATCTATTTGAGTCTTTTGGGTGTACACCTAGAAGTGGAATTGATGGATCAAATGGTAATTTTATTTTAATTATTTTTTCTTTCTTTTTTTAATTTTTCTATTTATTTATTTATTTATTTTTGAGACAGAGTCTCACTCTGTTGCCCAGGCTGGAGTACAGTGGTGTGATCTCGGCTCACTGCAACCTCTGCCTCCCAGGTGCAAATGATTCTCCTGCCTCAGCCTCCCAAGTAGCTGGAATTACAGGCATGCGCCACCATGCCCAGCTAATTTTTTTATTTTTCATAGAGACAGGGTTTCACCATGTTGGCCAGGATGGTCTTGATCTCTTGACCTTGTGATCCGCTCACCTCGGTCTCCCAAAGTGCTGGGATTACAGATGTGAGCCACCACGCTCTCAAATGGTAATTCTATGTTTAATTTTTTGAGGAACCATCAAACTGTTTTTCACAGTGGCTATACCATTTTATATTCCCACCAACATTGCATGAGGGTTTCAATTTCTCATGTCCTTGCCAATGCTTATTTCCTGGTTTGTGTTGTTGATTTTTATAATAACCATCCTGATGAGTGTGAAGTAGCATCTCATTGTGGTTCTCACTTGTTTTTATGCCATACTTGTAGTTGGTGTAACAGACACAGCAGAATTGGATATTATGTTAATCAATGTCTGGCTCAAATTTATATATATATATATATATATATATATATATATATATATGCATGTATGTATGCACTGATTCTTCTCTAAAATTACAACATGTTTTATGAGAACATGTGAACAATAAGATACATAATACAAACATAAGCTCAACTTATGGCAATGGGAAAACTGAAAAAATAGATGAAAACTGAAAAATGAAACTATAAACCCAAATTAGATGAACATGAAAGTGTGTTGTAATTTCCCCTACAGTTACTAAAATTGGGGTGAAAAAATCAATCTCGAATTTCCTAGTGGCCAAAGTAAAAATAAAAACAGGGTCGCTAACAGGAAAAGAAAGGCTTTTCTTGGCTCATTTATGGGAGAAATAAGCTATTGATATTTTTTAATATTTATAGATAATTGTATTGCTGACACTAGCAGATTTCAGACTGAAAGCAAACAGGATTTTTTTTTAATTATTGGGGTTGGGATTGGCAATGACTCCATAGCCTGACTACTGTAAGACTGTTTCTGTGGGTAGAATAGTAGTTTCAGAGTACAGTTGGGGTGACAGGACGGCAACTCCACCATCTCAGCCGAGAGATAAGTTCTATTTCCTTGGACTTTAGTCAGTTAATTTTTTTTTTTTTTTTTTTTTTTTGAGACAGAATTTCTCTCTTGTTGCCCAGGTGGGAGGGCAGTGGCGCAATCTTGGCTCACTACAACCTCCATCTCTTGTGTTCAAGTGATTCTCATGCCTCAGTCTCCCTAGTAGCTGGGATTACATGCCCAGCTAATTTTTTGTATTGAATTCCTGACCTCAGGTGATCTGCCCGCCTCAGCTTCCCAAAGTGCTGGGATTATAGGCGTGAGCCACTGCGCCCAGACCAGTTAATGTTTTATACAATACAACAGGTAAAATCTTGAATTGTCTTCTACATGTTTATATACGTACCTGTAATTTCCTGGCCATGTCACAGATTATAACTACATGGGTGTTTATACAAATAATCTTCTTAAAAATATGTACTTATCATCCATTTGGAAGAAGGGAAAGATCATCATGTTCAAATTTGATGTTGAAATTTCTTGGTCGGGTGCTATCGCTCATGCCTGTAATCCTAGCACTTCGGGAGGCTGAGGCAGGAGGATTGCTTGAGCCCAGGAGTTTGGGACTAGCTGAGTAACTTAGTCAGACTCCATTTCTACTTTAACATTGGATCTTTTTTTTTTGTTTCATCTTTTTTTGGGGGGATGTTCCTTTTTTGTGGAGAATGGGGTCTTGCTATATTGCCCAGGCAGATCTCGAACTCCTGGGCTCAAGTAATCCTCCCACCTCTGCCTCCCCAAGAGCTGGGATTGCAGGCACAAGCTACTGTGCCTGGCCTTCCATCTCTATTTAAAAAAAAAGAAAAAAAATATTTTTCAACTTAATACTACAGAAGCTGATGTATCATTTTCCAAGAATACTACCAAAAAAGTCATGAGAACTGGAGCTGTTGTCAAACCAGCTTCCCAGCACTTGAAGAGGAAAAAACAATTAGAAGCCACATGTAACAGATGTTTTTAAAGAACTGAGAAAGTTTGTCTTAAAAATTATGCTAAAATTGAAAGAACTGGCCTAAGATTTTACTCCAAAATTTGGATGAAAGATAATAACTGACATTTCTCGGGCATTTACAATATTCTGGGCATCATTCAAAGTGTTGCATATGTATTAACTCACTCCTCTAAACTTAATGGGGTTAATACTATTACATTCCCATTTTACAGGTAGGGAGACTGAGGTGAGGCCTGGAGCAGCTAACACTGGGAAGTATTAGAGTTGAGATTCGCACACAAACATACACAGTCTGGCTCCAGAAACCACAGGGTTACCTGCTAAACTGTACTGCCTCTTGATATTAGAGCAGATTAACACAGAAGGACTATTTTGGCCATCTGGCAAATAAATAGCTCAGATATCTTTTGTGTTGTTATAGTTTTGTTTTTTCCTTCAATAATCGAACTCACTTTTATTATCCTTCAAATTTCCCTTAATATTCTTGTATACACCTCCTAGTCCTAAATTTTAAAAAATGAATGATACTTCAGGTTCTAATTAACTGATGAAACCTTATACAGTCATTAAAAATGATGTTTTTACAAAGATTTTTAAGAATATGGAGGAATGCTTATAAAATAAAGTCACACCATGTAAGTTAGAAGGAAACCAGGCTTCTCCTCCCCCCACCTCCTCTAAAAAAACATCTAGGAAACTGATGGGAAAGTTTCATTGTGACTCTCATTGGGTAGGAGAATTAGGAATAATTTCTTATGTACTTTTTATAACTTTCTATGAAATTTAACTGAATACTTTTATAGTCCAAAAAATGAAATAGACAGACTTCTGCTTTTTTATTTTTTTTGAGATGGGGTCTTGCTCTGTTGCCCAGGCTGGAGTGCAGAGTGATGCAGTCTCGGCTCTCTGCAACCTCCGCCTCCCAGGTTCAAACAATTCTCCTTCCTCAGCCTCCTGAGTAGCTGGGATTACAGGCTCATGCCAACATGCCCATAATTTTTGTGTTTTTAGTAGAGACAGGTTTCACCATGTTGGTCATGGTGAAACTCAAACTCCTGACCTCATGATCTGCCCACCTCAGCCTCCCAAAGTGCTGGGATTACATGCGTGAGCCATCACATCTGGCCGACTTCATTTTTTAAAAGGCCAACTGGAGCCTTTCATTACAAAAGTATAGTCTGCAGCTCTTCATGATAATCTTATTGCATAATTTAGAATAATTTCCACAGAGCCCTCAGCTATATAAGTGAAGTTGGCACAGTGCAGACCTACACTGTGATATGTGGCTGTTTAATTAAAATCTAAAATCTAGCTCCTCAGTCACACTAGCCCCATTCCAAGTGCTCAGTAGCCACATGTGGCAAGTGACAACTCTTCTAGCATCATAGAAAATTCTGTTGCCCAGCACTGGTTTAGAAGAAAAAACAGGGAATCTGGAGCCAGAAAACTTGGCATCAAGCCCACCTAGGAGCTGACGCTTGCTGTGTGAAATAGGGCAATTTACTCAACCTCTCTAAGCCTGTTTCCCCATGGCCAAATTGGGACTGAAGATAATACCATTTACCATATACAGAGGTTAAGAAGATTAAGTAAGAGAATGCAGGTGACAGTTCTCTGAAAACAGTAGTGTGGTTTACCAGGTAGCGTTGCTTCCCAAGTCCCCCAGCCTGAAGTCAGCTGGCTCTCTGAGGACTGATTCCAAATCTTTGAATGCTCCACACCAAGAATTTTACCTGAGTGCCACCATCAAAATCAGATTAACTAGCTCTTATTACACAGTTCCTAGACCAAGTTCATGGCAATGTGGGCACTTCATTTCTTCCTTGTAAAAAGCTTCAATACACAGCTCTCTCTATACAATAACACCTCCTAAAAATTGTCTTTAATAATTTAAAATCTTCACTGTAAATACACTGCTGTATTTCCATTCCTACGATGAAAAAGACTGCCTTAAAAAAGAAAAAAACTGTGTTCACCAAAGAAATACATGGAGTTTGTAAAATTCCATATAACAAGGAAATCAGACAGTTAACAGTGCAGGTATTAAGCAAAAGATGTGAGGTTTTTACCAACAATGATAGCAGTTTCTCAAAACTTCAAACTGTCTGGTTTCTGATGAAATGGAAGTACTTGCTCATTGTGAATTTTTTTTTTTAATCTAACTCACTTCTGGGTTTCTCTGCAAAACAACGTAACTATTTCAGACAAGTGGAGGGCTTCTGCATTGAATGCCTCCATCCTAGTTCTCATTTAAGCCACCTCCCCCCGCACCCCCCCACCACCCCCGCACCCCGTGGCCTATGAATGCATACTTGCAAGGCTACTAAACCCAATCCGAAGGAGGCAGGCTCCAGCAGTTCGCCACTCACGCTCCTTTCTGCTTCCCCAGGTTTCCGCCAGCTGTGGATGCCTTTGACATTATGACCGCAGAGGATTCCGCCGCAGCCATGAGCAGCGACTCGGCCACCGGGTCCTCAGCCAAGGTGCCTGACGGCGTGGCGGGCGCGCCCAACGAAGCAGCGCTGCTGGCGCTGATGGAGCGCACCGGCTACAGCATGGTGCAGGAGAACGGGCAGCGCAAATATGGCGGCCCGCCGCCTGGCTGGGAGGGCCCGCACCCCCAGCGCGGCTGCGAGGTCTTCGTGGGCAAGATCCCGCGTGACGTTTATGAGGACGAGCTGGTGCCCGTGTTCGAGACCGTGGGCCGCATCTACGAGCTGCGCCTCATGATGGACTTCGATGGCAAGAACCGCGGCTACGCCTTCGTCATGTACTGCCACAAGCACGAGGCCAAGCGCGCCGTGCGCGAGCTCAACAACTACGAGATCCGCCCAGGCCGCCTGCTGGGCGTGTGCTGCAGCGTGGACAACTGCCGCCTCTTCATTGGCGGCATCCCCAAGATGAAGAAGCGCGAGGAGATCTTGGAGGAGATCGCCAAAGTCACCGAGGGCGTGTTGGATGTGATCGTCTACGCCAGCGCGGCCGACAAGATGAAGAACCGCGGCTTCGCCTTTGTGGAGTACGAGAGCCACCGCGCGGCTGCCATGGCGCGCCGCAAGCTCATGCCCGGCCGTATCCAGCTGTGGGGCCACCAGATCGCCGTGGACTGGGCAGAGCCCGAGATCGACGTGGACGAGGACGTGATGGAGACCGTGAAGATCCTCTACGTGCGCAACCTCATGATCGAGACCACCGAGGACACCATCAAGAAGAGCTTCGGCCAGTTCAACCCTGGCTGCGTGGAGCGCGTCAAGAAGATCCGCGACTACGCCTTCGTGCACTTCACCAGCCGCGAGGACGCCGTGCATGCCATGAACAACCTCAACGGTACCGAGCTGGAGGGCTCATGCCTGGAGGTCACGCTAGCCAAGCCCGTGGACAAGGAGCAGTACTCGCGCTACCAGAAGGCGGCCAGGGGTGGTAGCGCAGCCGAGGCGGCCCAGCAGCCCAGCTACGTGTACTCCTGTGACCCCTACACGCTGGCCTACTATGGCTACCCCTACAACGCCCTCATCGGGCCCAACAGGGACTACTTCGTGAAAGGTTAGTGGGGGCTCTTCTCCTGGGGCGGGGGTGGGGGGGGCAAGAACGTTGCCTCCTAGGGAGGGGGCATCAGGGATATTGTGGCTGGCATTTGCTGAGCTGGTAGGCGCCAAGGGCCCTCCCACCCCCGTTTTGGGTTTGCATTTTGGGTCCTGTTCTTTACTGGCAGCGAAGGGCCATCATTTCTACAGCATGGATAGAAATACAGATCGTTCTGGGGTGAGCGGCAAAATCACAGAGGTGTGCAAGCGCTGACATTCCACCTTGCTGGGGCCCATCGGGTTACCTGGGGCTAGTCCACCAATCTCTTGGTGTTTAGGTTAAAACCTGCTTGTGATATTAAATCTTAAGAATTGGTGGAGTCAATGATTTTTAGTTTTGTTTTTTGTTATCGTTAATTAGGATGTAATGAAACCCAGCATTACCTGGAAAATAAGATACATAGATCTGCGTCCTCTTCTCTGATTAGCTGGGTCTGTGACTTTAGTCACTTTAACCTCCCCTGGCCTGTTTTCTCAAGCATGAAATGAGGAAGGTGGACTAGCAAATCCTCTTCCAGATCTGACTTTTTATAAAAAATTTATTTAGTATTGTGTGTGTGTGTATATATATATATATATATATATATTTGGAGCCCATTAAAAAATTGTCTCACCATATTGCCCAGGCTGGTCTCGAACCCCTGGGCTCAAGCCATCCTCTTACCTCAGCCTCCCAAAGTACTGGGATTACAAGCGAGATACTGTCCCCTCCCTTTTTTTTGGTGTCGGGGAGGGTAGACTGTGAATGTTTTCCTTTACTGAAATTGCAGACACAATCCTAGGAACTCACCCTGCAGGTTTGCCCCTTGTGCTACGCAGACTTGCTTAGGATACAAATCTAGGCTGAAATGGAATGTTGGAAGCATCTTTATCAGCCCATTAAAGAGCAAAGGTGTAGCCTCCTGCAACTTAAGACTGGAGCAGTTAAATGCCAAGAACTGAGGGCTGAGGTCTCCTCCAGCACCATCACATTGGTTGCTCATCATCTTTTGTGTTGTTATTCCAAGCAGGCAGCATAAGAGGCCGAGGGCGAGGAGCAGCTGGCAACAGAGCCCCGGGGCCCAGGGGTTCCTACCTCGGGGGATATTCTGCTGGCCGTGGTATATATAGCCGATATCATGAAGGGAAAGGAAAGCAGCAAGAAAAAGGATATGAACTTGTGCCGAATCTGGAAATCTCTACCGTTAATCCAGTTGCCATTAAACCTGGTGCAGGTCAGTATGAACCAGACTTGAGAATGCATTCATTCAGCATAAACCCCAGCCCTTCTCTTTGAAGTAAGTCCAAACCTTATTCAGGCTCTCACAGCTACGCGTGGGTTCTCTTCTCCTAGGCAGCTAGAGACAAGGCAAAAAGACAATGGCAGGGCCGGGCGCGGTGGCTCACGCCTGTAATCCCAGCACTTTGGGAGGCCGAGGCGGGTGGATCACAAGGTCAAGAGATTGAGACCATCCAGGTCAACATGGTGAAACCCCGTCTCTACTAAAAATACAAAAAATTAGCTGGGCATGGTGGCACGTGCCTGTAATCCCAGCTACTCAGGAGGCTGAGGCAGGAGAATTGCTTGAGCCCAGGAGGCGGAGGTTGCTGTGAGCCGAGATTGCGCCATTGCACTCCAGTCTGGGTAACAAGAGCGAAACTCCGTCTCAAAAAAAAAAAGACAATGGCCCCCTGGACCTCCTTATCTAGAACTTCAGGGGTTGGTGTGGCTTTGACTATGTTCAAATCAAACGTGCCTGCAGTAAGGTTTTCAAAGGGGCATCACCAGTTGTTAGGCTTTCTCCCAGTCTGTGGCTAAGTAGATAGAGTTGTGGGGGAAGAAAGGAAGAACATGGGGCTGTTTGTACCTTCTATCAGGTAAATCCGACTTTTCCATACTCAGGCCTAACTCTGCCCCAACCATCTGAAGACAGAGGGGAGACCTTACTGCCCCATTGTGAGAGTTGTTGGGAAGGGCAGAAAATTCCCTTTCAGGAGTAAGCAGCATGTCCCTTGTCATGGTCTGAGCAAACAAGAATGCTTGGGGACAAGGAGTGGTGACAGATTTTTGTTGTTTTTGAGGCAGGGTCTTGCTCTGTCAATCAAGCTGGAGTGCAGTGGCTTGATCTCAGCTCACTGCAACCTCTGCCTCCCAGGTTAAAATGATTCTCCTGCCTCAGCCTCCCAAGTAGCTGGAGATACAGGCGCACACCACCATGCCCGTCTAATTTTTGTATATTTAGTAGAGACGGGATTTCACCATGTTGCCCAGGCTGGTCTTGAAATCTTGACCTCAAGTGAACAGCCCACCTCAGCCTCCCAAAGTGATGGGAATACAGGCATGAGCCACCTCGCCTGGCCTTCAGTGAAAGTTTTTGCAGCTAGTTCCCTGGTTTCTAATTTCCAGCACTCATTTCTTCTTCTAGCTGGATCAGTAGATTGGGAGTAGGGGTGCTCAAGTATTTCAAGCCAGGGACCTTGAACTTTGCTTTCACCTCCAGGCCCCACAAACCTGTTTATCAATGTTGTTAGTGCCCATGGTTCTCTAATGTGAGGCCAGTCTTCCAATCCGAACCTGCAAAGAATATTAACTCCATATGTGAGTCTAGCATAAACTCACACAGCACCCCACACAAGCATCCAAACAGATGGAAAGTTCAGTCCATGGGTAATTGGCATGACCCTCCTCCAGACCCCCTCCTGGCTTCAGTGCGGGTAGATTGAAGAACTTTCTGGAGCCCAGCTACTCCATTTTTCTTCTGGTTGAGATTGTACACTTCATTCCCTAGCTAAAATAGAGTCAAGGAATCTGTGCATTTGGGACATAGGTACACATTGGCCTCATAGGGTTAAAAAGCATTTCCTCAATTGAACTTTCTTTTGATACATCTAGTAATGATTTTTATTTATTTTTTTTTTTGCCTGTGTAAAAATTCTGCAATTTCTGCAGTTAAGTGACTCCTTAGACTAGGTTTCCTTACAAATGTCATTGACATTATGAGCAAAGTGAATCTGATCCTATAGCTCTATAACTTCATAAAATAGAGCCTGGATATAGGAGTTGTCACTTCCACTTATTGGGAAGGGGACTCCTGTTAGCAAGCTACCAGAGCTTAAGGCTTAACAAGAGAAAAGAACGGTTAAATAATCTTTAGCCGTGTAAAGTTGTGTCCTGGAACCTGAGATAGAAATTCTTATGGGCTGATGGCCAGAACAATTCAGTTACTTTGTACAACCCCTTGTAGCTTAAACTCACAACCCTCTCTGGGCCCTATCTGTTGGCATCTATTTCTGGTCATCCAGAAAATGAGAACATTTTATTTTAGGAGAGGCACCAGGGTGGTGACGAAGTATCTGGGCACAAGACAGATGGAAGCTATGATTAGAAAGGCAGGTAAAAGATTTGGTTAAGGTTTTAGGTATATTTTATCGAATGGCTGCATCATTGTTTAGCTTACAATCATTTGTCACTTTACCTTTGATCAAGTCTATCTTTATTAGGATAAATGTACCCACAGTTGGAGAAAAACCAGAAATAGAAAGATTCTTTGTGTACACATTTCATATTTTTGCTTATCCTTTTAACACACACAAACACATACACCACCACCACGACCCCACTCTCTCACACACACACACACACACACACACACACACATCAGGGCTTATATCTTTTCCTTTTCACCTCTTCTTACTGTAACTTGACATTCAGATCCAGTAGCTGCTACCTGTTTGAATCTCTGGTTGAAATCATAATTTTGGACTTGACTCGCAGAAATTCTTTGAATTGGCAGGTCCCACTAAAAGCTAATCACTCCACTGCTTCACTACTTCGAGTGGGGATGAGGAAATTGAGTAATGTCCTATTTCTTTACCATGTGTTTTTCCTTGAATCGGTAATGTTGAAATCTGAAATACAGGGTGGGGAGGATGTACACAGGTCTGAGTTCTCAGAATGAAACTCAACAGCACCTGTTTCTTAAACAGTAGTGAAAGTGAATAAAAGGCCCTGGGCTGGTCGTGAGTGAGGTGAGTAAGAGGGAACAGGCAGGCCTGACTCTCACAGGTGGTTGGCCTCAAGCCTCTGATCTCACTTCTTCATCTAAGCCATTTTCCCATAGTCAGAGGCCCTTTCTTGCTCAGTAGGACATCAAGAATAAGATTCAAACTGTGATTTTTCTGTAGAAATAGTAGACAATATTGGTACAGAAGCCTAACTCTAGGGTTCTCTTCCAGGACAGGCAGGGGAGTTACCTGCCACCTCCCACCCCTGCCTCTTGGGGAGCAGGCATCTGGATACGTGGTGTGTACTCAGAGAACAGCAGTGAGCAAAGAGAGACCTATGACCTCTAAACATGGTTTTAAAAGTTACCTTAGGCCAGGCGCAGTAGCTTACGTCTGTAATCCCAGTGCTGTGGGAGGCCAAGGCAGGTGGATCGCTTGAGCTCAGAAGTTCAAGACCAGCCTGGGCAACATGGTGAAACCCTGTCTCTACAACAACAACAAAAACTAGCTAGGCAAAGTGGCCTGCACCTGTAGTCCCAGCTACTCAGGAGGCTGAGTTGGGAGGATCACTTGAGCCCAAGAGATTAACGCTGCAGTGAGCCTTGATTGCACCACTGCATTCCAGCCTGGGCAACAGAGTGAGACCCTGTCTCAAAAAAAAAAAAGGTTTTTTGGCCAGGCACGGTGGCTCATGCCTGTAATCCCAGCACTTTGGGAGGCAGGCGGATCACGAGGTCAAGAAATCGAGACCATCCTGGCCAACATGGTGAAACTCCATCTCTAAAATAAATAAATAAATAAAAATTTTATTTAAAAAAAAAAAAGTTTTTTAAAAAAGTAAAAATAAAAAATACCTTAGAGCAAGTGATGGACCCCCCCTTAGCAACTGAAAGTGAGTGACCCGTTTTTCCTTCTTGCTTCTCTTACAGTAGCCATCCCTGCCATTGGGGCTCAGTATTCCATGTTTCCAGCAGCTCCAGCCCCTAAAATGATTGAAGATGGCAAAATCCACACAGTGGAGCACATGATCAGCCCCATTGCCGTGCAGCCAGACCCAGCCAGTGCTGCCGCTGCCGCTGCCGCTGCCGCCGCCGCCGCCGCAGCCACTGTCATTCCTGCTGTGTCGACGCCACCACCTTTCCAGGTAGAGTTCTCGTGGCAGTCATTGTCATTTGTGTGTGAAGCCTCTCTTTCTCATGGATTCATTCAGTATTCAGCACTGAGAATTTACTGTGTGCCTGGCTATGTTGGGTGACAGGAAGCATTTTGAATATGAATTATGACAAAAAAATTTTAATTAATTGTACTACCCTAATAATATTATTGTATTAAGGATGGGAAGCAATATGCAAAAATGGCATGTATCATTTTCATAGTGTCATAATATGGTGCTTTTTTTTTTTTTTTTTTTTTTTTTTTGAGACAGTCTTGCTCTCTTGCCCAGGCTAGAGTGTACTGGCGCAATCTCAGCTCACTGCAACCTCTGCCTCCCAGATTCAAGCAAGTCTCCTGCCTCAGCCTCCCGAGTAGCTGGGGCTACAGGTGTGTACCACACCCAGTTAATTTTTTGTATTTTTAGTGAGATGGGGTTTCACCATGTTAGCCAGGAAGGTCTCAATCTCCTGACTTCATGGTCCTCCTGCCTGAGCCTCCCAACATGCTGGGATTACAGGCGTGAGCCACCACGCCCAGCCTTGTACATTTTTTTTTTTAACAGCACTGGATAATTTTTCACTCATGTTGTTAAAGAACTGACACACAAAGTCCAGAGAGCAATTTAATATCTTCACATTTCAAACTGCAGCTCAATGAAGATGTTTAAAAAACAACCCCTGCGTGTGTGTGTTTGTGTGTGTGTGTGTGTGTGCTTGTGCGTGTGCGTGTGCATGTGCATGCATGCAGTGTGTGCGTAGAGGGGGAGGAGAGAGAGAGAAAGAACAACTGTATAGCTATGTAAAATCTTATGCTGGGTATACTGGCTTATGCCTGTAATTCTAACACATAGTGGGGCCAAGGTGGGAGGGTCACTTGAGGCCAGGAGATCAAGACCAGCCTGGGCAACATGGTGAGACACTGTCTCTACAATTTTTTTTTTTTTTAATTAGCCTGGCATGGTGGCATATGCCTGTAGTCCCAGCTATTGGGGAGGCTGAGGCAGGAGGACCCCTTGAGTCCTTGACGCCAAGGCTGCAGTGAGCTGTGATTGCACCACTGCACTCCAGCCTGGGCAACAGAGTGAGACCCTGTCTCAAAAAAAATTTTTTTACAAAATATGCCCTTAATCCTCTCCTCCAACCGTATCTTTCACTGTTCTGCTATCTCTTCCCAAACTCATGTTACCATGTTGGCCTCCTTCCCCACCTTCGTTCATAGTGTATCCATGGTTTCTTTATTCTCATCTCTTCCGCAGAATCTTCCCCATCCACCTTCTAGAGAAATTTTCTCTCCTGTACTCATTACTGCATCATTACTTGGCCTATGGCTGCCAGTGTGTTCTGTCTCCCAATGAAAATGAAGCTCCTCCAGACCAAAGGCTGTGTCTGTCTTGTTTCTTTTATCTTCACCTCATAGGACATAGGACATCCATTTAACAGAAGAAAATCTTGTTAAAGCTATTCTCTGTGAGGCAGTGAGTCATGAATACCAATCACAAGTACTCAGGCCCAAGATCCCTCATCCAAATGAATAAGAATTATCCAGGGTACTTTTTTGATTTTTGGTTTTTTTGAGACAGAGTCTCACTCTGTCACCCAGGCTGGACTGCACAGCTCACTGCAACCTCAACCTCGCCGGCTCAAGCAATCCTCCTACCTCAGCCTCACAAGTAGTTGGGACCCAGACACGCATCACCGTGGCAGGCTAACTTTTTTATTGTAGAGGTAAAATCTTGCTATGTTGCCCAAGCTGGTGTTGAACTCCTTGACTCAGGCAATCCTCCCACCTGATCCTCCCAAAGTGCTGGGATTACAGGCATAAGCCATCAACTACATTTTTTTTAAAATGGAGATTCTTAGATTCTAAGCCCTGAAGATTCCAATTCAGTCAAACTGGACTGGAGTCCTTGTCTTGACTGCATTATTCAGAAAGCGCAGACTAATTGAAGTTTTATTTATTTTCCAGTATGTTATTATTCTTTAACTTGGGATCTCTGAAAGACAAAAAAAAAGAATTGGTTGTAAATGACTCACACTGTAGAATGACAACTAAGCGTAATTATACTTGTGGACTGGTGGTAAATATTTGCAATAACTTAGCAGCAATACTTACTGGAATTCTAATAATTTCTAATTTTTCTTTACTAAGAAATTCATGAACATTTGTCTTTGATGTGTACTGTGAGTTCTGGTCAGGTCCAAATTCCAGGCACCATAATCATGTTCTGACGATATCATGACTATTTCTGTCTCCTATCAGTCTGCACTGGCTGTTGTCATCAGGGTCCTTATTTACAGTCTTTGCTTATGAATTTGCTCAAAGTACAATCATTATGCATTGATTCCTTTGGAGACTTTTTCCTCCTCTACATTCTGCAGAATGCCTGGGAGCTACTTTTTAACCTGAGACTGGCTTCTTTGGATGTATGGTGGCTGGGTTTCTCTCTTCATCTAAGTACTCTGTGTCTTCGTCTGAAATCTTTCAACCTGCGCTCTCTGACATGTTCAGCCTTCCACCTCTTTTGAATTCTCTGCCAAACTGCAGCAGAGGAAGGAGCGTGTTAAGCACCACTGAGTGGAGGGAAGAACACCTTTCTGAGTGGGAGCCACGCCGGAAACTGATGGCTTTCAGGACCTACCTAAGCAGCGCCTTTGATCATCCTCCCCTACCTTGTGGTTGCTGGGGGGTGTTCCTGTTTAGCCATTTTATATCCAAAATTTCATGAAGTTTTTGCAAGCAATAAATAAATATTTGCCGGTATAGACTTTATCAGTTTTTCAAACTTCTCATAGTGTTCTCAGTCTTAACAACACCTCTTGGTGTAGCTAGAGCAAGGATAGACCATTCCTCCTTGACAGGAGTGAAGACTGCAGAGACTCTTCACCTGAATTAGAGGCACTTTTTTTTCTTTTTTCTTTTCTTTTGAAATGGAGTCTCGCGCTGTCATCCAGGCTGGAGTGCAGTGGTGCGATCTTGGCTCACTGCAACCTCCGCCTCCAGGGTTCAAGCAATTTTCCTGCTAGAGGCACTGTTTAAAGGTGGGTTAATGTTCCTCCCACTACCACCATTGCATTTTTCTTTTTTCCTGCTCTTTGCTGATGCTGTATTAATGCAATTGTATAGTGGTCCCCGCTTATCCATGGGGGATACATTCCAAAACCCCTGGTAGATGCCTGAAACACAGATATTAACAAACCCATAATATACTATGCATGACTTTCCTTCTTTACAATTTCACAAATAGAAAATTTCTTTCTTACTGTAGCTTAGCAACCTCAGCATAGGATTTTTTTCTTCCATTATTAAGTAGCGAACTTTCCCCTTTTCACTGAGAGGAAGGCCCCTAGTGCTCCTCTTTGTCATATCCAAATTGCCAACATGACTACTCTTGCACTTTGGGGCTGATATTAAGTAAAATAAGGGTTCCTTGACAGTCAGTCTGATAACCCAGATGGCTACTAAGTGGGATGGACGTGGGACATAGACATTGTGGTTTTCCTGGACAAAGGGATGACTGGCATCCCAGTCAGGACAGAGAGGGATGGCATGAGATTTCACGGAACTACTCCTCAGAAAAGGTGCACAATTTCAAACTTATGAATTGTTTATTTCTGAAATTTTCCGTTTAATATTTTCAGACTTCAGTTGACCACAGGTAACTGAAACCATGGAGAGCAAAGCCAAGTGCTTTCCCATATGTTCTCATTTTACACATAAGAAAATGAAGGCCCAGCAGGGTGATAGAATTGCTGGCCAGGAGTAGAATTGGGATTGGGAGATCAGATGCCTGATCTGTGTATGCTGTGTCCTGATAGTGTGGTGAATGCCATCATAAAAGGGACATCACAGGAATGGAGAGAGAAGCCATGGGTTTGGGGAGCTACTCTTGATTCCAGGCTGTGAGCCAGTGACCGTTCATGTGCGTAGCTTGTCAGAGTGAGCAGCCTGAACCCAGGGGTGGGGCTGGCCTGTAGCACATGGAAAGGTTTCTCTCACATGTCACCTTCCCTGCGATTTCCTCCCTTTTTGCACTGGTTATTCAATTACATCCACACGTGTGGAAAAGATGGCTTGTGTCTTGCTGTGAACCACAGTCGAAATTTCCAGTTCTGGAGCTCCTCTCCCTGGCTGTAAAAAGCCACAGATGAGACACTCGTTGTTGCGTGTTGTAGAAAGCAAGTTCACATGGGGCTAAAAGTGCAGGCTCCAGTGTCACACATGGCCTTGCCTAAAAGCTGTGTCACTTTGTGCAGGTCATTTAACACATCCACACAACTCCATATAATCAGAGAATCAACTCTACTGTGTGATGATTCAATACTGTCATGCAAATAAGGCACTTAGCGTAGTGTCTGGCAGACAGTAGTCGCTGAGTTTGGGGGTTTGTTTGTTTGTGACAGGGTCTCACTTCCATTGCCCAGGCTGGAGTGCCATGGTGTGATCTTGGCTCACTGCAGCCTTGAATCCCCAGGTTCAGGTGATCCTCGTGCCTCAGTCTCCTGAGTAGCTAGAACTACAGGAGTATGCACCACTGTGCCTGGCTAAGTTTTGTATCGTTTGCAGAAACAAGGTTTCACTCTGTTGCCCAGACTGGTCTCGAACTCCTAGCCTCAAACCATACTCCCACCTCAGCCTCCCAAAGTGCTGGGATTATAGGCATGAGCCACCTCACTCAGCCTCAGAGTTGTTATTAATCGTTATAATTATAAATTAAAATTATTATAATTACCATTTGATTATAGTTGAAAACAGTACTTTTATGCTAGAAGTTCCTTTGAGCCCAATTTTGTGGCTCCAATTTGCAAATTTTGTAAGAGATATTAGAGCTAATTCCTTTATAAAAATCCAGGAAGAAATAATTATTTTAATTCACCATTTCATATATGCTGCATTGTTTATTTTGATGATGTATTAAGATATAGGGGGCCAGGTGCGGTGGCTCACGCCTGTAATCCTAGCACTTTGAGAGGCCAAGGTGGGTGGATCACCTGAGGTCAGGAGTTCAAGACCAGCCTGGTCATCATGGTGAAACCCCATCTTTAAAAAACTAACTAAATAAATAAAGATATAGGGAGACCATACCAGCATTTCCTACAAGGCATTCTATGGATCAGGAGGTACAATCAATATTTTGTTAAATGAATGTTTTATTTTATCCAAAATCCCTTTTCAATGAAGCATCTCACAGAACTTATTCCCTGGCAAACACTTTGGGAAACACTGAACCACAGTCTTCCCATTCGTACTCCTGTTTGTTCTGAAAACATCTTATGTTGCACTCAAGTAGACAGAAGGAAGTAGCAGGGGCTTTTCTAGAGCCAGTGGAGGCCGTCAGCAGGTTAGGCAGCTTTACATAGCTTGTCCTCCCTCACTTCCTCATTTGGAAACTGCTCCTTCTCCTCAAAGCCCAGCTCAAATATCCTTGCTGCTGGGACATTTTCTCCAACTTCCCCATTAGTTGGTTCTTTGTCTAAGTTTCTACAACAATTTGTATACACAGTGGTGTCATCTCTTAGGTGGGAGATGATAGAAACCATCACACTGGCTGAAAATTGTATATGGTCACTTATTTAAGGTCACAGCTTAAGAAACTTGCCCTTTGGAGATCAGTATATTTGGTTTCATTAAGTTGACCAGTCTGTTCTCCTCTCTTTTTGAGACAGATCATGTTCTTTCAGTAAGTATGAATTGAGGCAGCTGGCATGTATCTAGGGGCATGTATTAAGGAAAAATACGGATTTTTAATGACTGTGAAATCAACTGCTGGATGGTAGATTCTCAGCTGCCTTCTCTAGCTCACTCTGGGGCATAGACTGATTGAGTGGAATGATGGGTAGAAGATTCCAGAATACAGTACAAAGAATGTCCTCCTTATTCACAGGTTCTGCATCTGGATTCAACCAACCATGGCTTGAAAAAATAAAGACAATAAAAAATAACAATACAACAATAAAAAATAATACAGATGTTAAAATACAACATAGCAACTATTTATATAACATTTGCACCATATTAGGTATTATAAGTACTCTGGAGAAGATTTTAAAGTATATGGGAGAGCCCAGGTATGGTGGCTCATGCTTGTAATCCTATCTCTTTGGGAGGCTGAGATAGGAGGATTGCTTGAGGCCAGGAGTTCGAGACTGGCCCTGAGCAACATAGTGAGAACTTGTCTCTATGAAAAAAAAAATGTTTTTATAGTATACAGGAGGATATGCATAGGTTAAATACAAATACGCCATTTTCTCTCAGGGACTTGAGCATCTGCGGATTTTGGTAGCCATGGAGGTCCTAGAGCCAATCCCCCGTGAAGATACTGAGGGACAACTGTATTTCAACTTTCCCTCAGCCTTCCAGGCCGCTCACTTTCACAAGGTCGAGTTGCCAAGTTTGAGGATGCAGCTCCACCTGACCTCTTCAATGGCTCTCATCCCACTTCCTTATAATTGTTATTCAATGGCCCCTCTGCCTTCCTCTCCCTTGCTATCACTTCTTTGTACTCCCAACCCCTGGGAGATGCTTGTTGATGAATGGATGATAGGTACATACACATGTTCAGGAAGGCTCCTTTTTGTCTCTTCTCAGGGCCGCCCAATAACTCCAGTATACACGGTGGCTCCAAACGTTCAGAGAATTCCCACTGCCGGGATCTATGGAGCCAGTTACGTGCCATTTGCTGCTCCGGCCACAGCCACGATCGCCACACTACAGAAGAACGCGGCAGCTGCAGCTGCCGTGTATGGAGGATATGCAGGCTACATACCTCAGGCCTTCCCCGCTGCTGCCATTCAGGTCCCCATTCCCGACGTCTACCAGACATACTGAGGCTGGTGACCAGAGTGAAGACAGACCACACAAATGCCACTGAAGGAACGCTTGACTATTTATGAAGAAGGAATGTGTTGGATTCGCACATGCAACCTGAAAGTGAAGAATGTTCAGATGTATTCCTAAAATATTTTATATACATGAAGTTTTCACTAGTTTTTTAAGACTATTTTCAACTTAGCAGGCCTGCGTTCATACATTTCCAAAAGACTCGCCTGGCTCGTGCCTTCATAGCATCTTTTAAAAATTTGTATGCTGTACTACATTTGTATACAGGTTTTTGTTGTCGTTGTTGTTTTAAGGATATATTTTCAGTATGAAGGTTATTTTCTTAACTTCTGCACTCCAGAGATTTCTATTTTGTAGTACCTTCAATAATATATCAGCTATATATTGAAAAAGCACACTTGAGCAGCTAGGGAACTATTTTGAAAAATAGATTCAATATTTAAAGATACAAACAGTAGTGCTTAAAAATACTACATAAAACATTATTTTAAAGGTTATACTGGAAAGTGCAATTTTAAAATGAGGAAAACCTCTGTATTTCTGCTGGCATTAAGGGTTGACGGTGTCACCATGTGTCATCCATGGCGGTACTATTTTTTAAAAGAAACACTCAATCTCTCCTTAGGCCAACATTGAAAAGACTTGCCACACTCCTGAGTCAAAACACTGGAAAGCTGTCCTCTGCCACCATTAGCCGGGGCTCATTCTCCATGTGCCTTAGCCTTGAACATGCCCCCGAGACCCCCACCTCTCATCTCTTCCCCTCCCCACCAAATTCCTAGTCCCATCGCAATGTCTGGCAAGTCTAGGACTGATGAATAGCTCTGATAGAAGAGCTGGTGGCTTTTATACTTCTTCCTGGGTTTTTGTTGGGGTTTGTTGTTTCGTTGTATGTTTTTTTGTTTTGGTTTGGTTGGGGAAGTATTATCTTCTATGTGTGCTATTTTCAGTAGCAGAGTAAGCACAGATTTTAATCAGGTTGCATAAGACACCTTTGCATAGCTATTTAATTGCCCATTATAAAACTTTAATGCCATTTCTAATGCTTTTATTTGTTTTTGAAGTATGAGTTTGTAGGGACAAAGAATGTATGTGATTGTAGACAAGACCCCCCCCCCCAGAGACTCTTGTCAGCAGAAAGTGATGCTTCTAGTTGCCTTATCAAGTTTCATGCAGAAATGTCTGTGGTCCTCAAGGGTGTTGGAAACATTATGTTTATTAAATGGGCCTCTCTTCTCTTGTCGTGCACTTGATGGGCAAACTGAATTGGGGTGTACACATCCAGGAGGAGGAAGAGAGACCTGGAGAAGTTTAAAGGTAGTTTGTAAATATCTTCTAATGCTTGTTTTTAGTCCTTTTATGTTGCAGAAGTTTATGATATGTAGTTTAATGCAAAATGAAACCATTTTATTTCAATGTTATTAAAAAGGTTTGTTTTATTAGGAAGTTAATGTATTGTTGCAGTGTTTTGTGCCTGTTTAAAGGCTTTTTGTTTAGCAGAGTGAATGTAAAATACAGTAAAATGTTAAGGTTGTCATCTACTTTTTTCGGAAATATGTCAACTTGGAATTTTTTTTTAAAGGCTCAATCAAGGAAGTGAGGTGTGCAATAAGATAGCAAATACGCAGTTGCATTTTTATGTCATGTTAGAGATCCATACAATCTTGCCACTCACGGGGTTTTCGTTGATGGCTGAATTCTTGTGGATTAATAAGAGGATCATGCCCTTAGCAAGTACTTTTGTTTTGTTATAAATTAAGAGATTCCCAAATGCCTTTCCCCCCCTCATCTTGAGATGAGTTTTTATATATAAGCAATATTTATTTAACTATTCTATAAAATTATTGAGTGCCTGCTGAGGCCTTTAAATATTCCTAACATTCCTTTCCATCATTCTCAGATGACATAAAGTAATCGTGCAATGTTCCTGATGATGTACCCACAAGCTTCATTCAAACTCAAATCTGTTGGAATGAGTGACTCAACAAAATGTAATTCAGATCAGATCCTCATCCTTTGTGCGAAAAAAAGTACTCTCCTTCTAGTGAAGGATTGTCACAGAGGTTCACTGGATGAAACTCTGACCCAGTATTCTTACTGTATTTTACATATGCCTGTAAATTATTTGCAAAAGAAAAAAAAAGAAGAAAAGAATGAAAGAAAATTTAAAAACAAATGATGCCTTAACATGGCAACCACCAAACTCTCTTAGAAACATATGTTGGTGACAGAGCCAGTTAAGTATCAGTGAGCCTCCTACCTGGGACTTATCTGTTCCTATTGTTTCAAAACCATTTCATGTACACTACTGAGGTAAGTTTATAACTTGAAATGTGAACTTTTTTTTTTTTTAGGGTTAAGAACAAACTATATAAATGTAAAAAAAAAGTTTTAGAGTTCTGTTTTCAAACATTGCTAGTAGTTTAGTTAACTTTAGCTGCTTTATATTTGAAAAGCTTTTATTTAGATCTTGCTCCATTTACAGTACATTCTTAGGATGTATGTAGTAAATAAAGCTTCCTTTAAAGCAGTTGCAAAACCTTAATTGTGTGTTTTCTTTATACTGAATTATTGTTTCTAAAAATGTTAGGGAAACCCTGATAGCATAGAAAGGATTGGCTAATTTGATATTTTCTGTTGGAGAAATCAGCAAGTTACAGTCATGTGTTTGTCTTGGGGTAACCATTGAAGATGGGTTACGTAGACCGGGTGTGGTGGCTTATGCCTGTAATCCCAGCACTTTGGGAGGCCAAGCTGGGTGAATCACCTGAGGTCAGGAGTTTGAGACCAGTCTGGCCAACATGGTGAAACCACATCTCTATTAAAAATACAAAAAAAATTAACTGGGCATAGTAGTGCATACCAGCTACTCGAGAGGCTGAGGGAGGAGAATCACTTGAACCCAGAAGGCACAGGTTGCAGTGAGTTGAGATCATGCCATTGCACTCCAGCCTGGGCAACAGGAGAAAAACTCAGTCTCTCTCTCTCTCTCTCTCTCTCTCTCTCTCTCTCTCTCTGTCTCTGTCTCTCTCTGTCTCTCTCTGTCTCTCTCTCTGTCTCTCTCTCTCTGTCTCTCTCTCTCTGTCTCTCTCTCTCTCTCTCTCTCTCTCTCTCTCTGTCTCTGTCTCTCTCTGTCTCTCTCTCTCTGTCTCTCTCTCTCTGTCTCTCTCTCTCTGTCTCTCTCTCTCTGTCTCTCTCTGTCTCTCTCTCTCTGTCTCTCTCTCTCTGTCTCTCTCTCTCTCTCTCAGTCTCTCTCTCTCTCTCTCTCTCTCTCTCTGTCTCTGTCTCTCTCTGTCTCTCTCTGTCTCTCTCTCTGTCTCTCTCTCTCTGTCTCTCTCTCTCTGTCTCTCTCTGTCTCTCTCTCTCTGTCTCTCTCTGTCTCTCTCTCTCTCTCTGTCTCTCTCTCTCTGTCTCTGTCTCTGTCTCTCTCTCTCTCTCTCTCTCTCTCTCTCTCTCTCTCTCTCTCTCTCTCTCCTCTTTTTTAATAGAGGCAGGTTTCTTCATGTTGGCCAGGCTGGTCTCGAACTCCCCACCTCAGATAATCTGCCCACCTCAGCCTCCCAAAGTGCTGGGATTAAAGGCGTGAGCTACCGCACCTAGCCAAAACTCGGTTACATAGTGAATTGTGAATTATGAGTATACTCAAACTTTGTTTGGCTCAGGTGGTAGGAGAAGGTAAGAGACTGAACACTCAAATAATACTCAAATCTGGATCGGAATAGGATGTAGCAAAGCCTGTCACCACCCTCAGTGCCAAAGTCTTGTAAAGAGAGAGAGTTGATGTACATTGAATTTTTTGATGGTCTCATGAAAGTGCTGGGATGACCCTGATGTTGGTCATTGCATTTGAAACCAAAACCCTGTTTCTCCTTTCACAGTGCATCACAAGGTTAGCAGGAAACTTTCCTTTTCTTGAGAGATCATCAGTAACTTCAGACAGTGTCTGTCATCAAAGCCAATCAAATGACAAGAGAGAAGATAGTAGATTGTCAATAGAATAAAGTCTAAAAATTGTTCCACTTGGATTTGTCAGTTATTAAGAATTTTACCTTCTTAACTTTGAACCTGGGCCGTGGCCTGCCAACTTGCGTTTCTTGGAATTCTAACTTCCTGCTTCCTCTTAAACAGATAAAGGCCTTTTTAGAGGCAGAACAGACTGGGAAACTTCCCAAGATGACAGCTTACTGGGCAGTATTTTTAGGGGCAACAAGATCTGCTGATCTACTTGTTCTGGGAAATAATTACAGAAGCCCTTCAAGTTGCAGAATCACATTTGGGTTAGATTGATCTCTTTAGAAAAAGAATTTACAATCAAAATAAGGAGGCCAATAGTGTGTCAAATGAGGATAATGACCATGATCGTTTGATTCACTGGGCTCTTAGGCTTCCATAACCTCAAGTGGACCTCACAGGAACTCAGTGGAGTAGGCAGGGCAGATACAGATATGTGACAGGTCAAGGTCACCCAGCTGGTAAGAATGGGACTCAAATCTATACTCAGGGCCAAGTGCCGTGATTCACGCCTGCAATCCTAGCATTTTGGGAGGCCAAGGTGGTCAGGAGTTCAAGACCAGCATGGTGAAACCCCATGTCTCCTAAAAATACAAAAATTAGCTGGGTGTGGTGGTGGCACCTGTAGTCCCAGCTCCTCAGGAGGCTGAGGCAGGAGAATTGCTTGAACCCGGGAAGGAGGGGTTGGGGTTGGGAGGACAGGGGTTGCTGTCCAGCCTGGGTGACAGAGTGAGACTTTGTCTCAAAAAAAAAAATTATGCTCAAGACTCCTTGTCTCAGGTTCAAAATGCCCCCATGTTTTTTAAATTCCAAAAATATCTGTCATGACAACATACAAAGCACGTAATTGAAAGAAAACATGATCTGATTTTTCTTGTATATCCAATTTTTATATGATTTCTTTATTATAAAGCCTTCTGGGCACTAAAGCTTTGTATTTCAGTTGTTTTTTTGTTTTGTTTGAATTTGATTTTTTAAGTCACAGGAAGTGTGACATTTTGGCGTAGCTGTTTTGATGAAATGATGCTTTGACACCATGACCCTAACAAAAAAATCCATCTTCAGCTTTTTACAAAACTACTGAGTAGGATGACACAGATGTACTTTTACCTTATCCTACCTTTTTCTTGACACATCCACCATTTCTGAAGCCCCACGTCAAAGGAAAGACTAGGTTTAATTACAGAAAGAGACTCAGGAGACATCCACAAAATGTTTTGCTTCAATTCCAAGGTCTAAGCTACTGGACTAAACAGCTTTTTTCCCTGTCTTTTCGCTTATTAGTACCCAGCATTCCTGTTTCTCTCTCTTTTTTTTTTTTCCTTTGAGATGGAAGGCTCGCTCTGTTGCCCACGCTGGAGTGCAATGGCGCAATCTCGGTTCACTGCAACCTTCACCTCCTGGTTCAAGCAATTCTCCTACCTCAGCCTCCTGAGTAGCTGGGATTACAGGTGCGCACCACCACGGCTAGTTAATTTTTGTTTTTCTTAGGAGAGATGGGGTTTCACCATGTTGGTCAGGCTGGTCTCGAACTCCTGACCTTGTGATCTGCCTGCCTGGGCCTCCCAAAATGCTAGTATTATAGGCGTGAGTCACTGCACCTGGCCTCCAGCATTCCTGTTTCTAACTCTTCATGCCAATAAACTTGGGAGAGGAAATGTGATTACCCAAATGCTTACCTGTATGAGCAAGTGCCATGGCCTACTAAAATAGGCTGGGTTTGTGGTCAGAATACCTAGAGGTGAAACCTCAGCCTTGCTACTTGCAAGTTATGAGACCTTGAAAAAGATGCCTCACCTCTCTGAGCACCAGTTTCTTAACTGGTAAAAAAAAAAAGGGATAATAATCCTGACCTCATAAGGTTATTATAAAAATAAGATGAGTTAATCTGAAAAAGCCTAGTACATTGTTGGCACTCTTCTAGAAAGTTACTTCCTTTCCCATTCTCCTTTTTAAACTCTAATGTGACTGCATTCCTCTTTGTTAATTCTATCAAGTCTTTTCTTTTTTTTTTTTGAGACGGAGTCTTGCTGAGCCACCCAGGCTGCAGTGCAATGGCGCATTCTCTGCAACCTTCACCTCTCAGGTTCAAGAGATTCTCCAGCCTCAGCCTCCCAAGTAGCTGGGATTACAGGCATGTGCCACCATGTCCAGCTAATGTTTTTGTATTTTCAGTAGAGACAGCATTTCATCATGTTGGGCAGGATGGTCTTAAACTCCTGACCTCAGGTGATCCACCTGCCTCAGCCTCCCAAAGCGCTGGGATTATAGGCATGAGCCACTGCAACTGGCCACCTTTCCATTTTAAATCCTTTTATTCTTTTTTTTACCTTAAAAATTTCATTCACTGAAATTTTTTATTCTTTTATTCACATATTTAGTCAATCAACATTAATTGCTGGAGTGCCAACTATGCAGATTCGCCAGAGAAATAAGTCAATAAAATTGACCCTCTGGCTTCTGGAAACTCTCAGGCACAATAGTACTGCTTTATGGGAGGGGACACACACCCAGGCTTGAGCCAGAGACCTACAGGAAGAGTAGGAGTTTGGAAGATGAGCAGGGGGAAGGGAACGGGAAATGCCTGGGCCCGGAGGATAGAACATGGTGTCAAGTCCATGAAACCAGTTCAGGGTGGCTGCCTTAAAGGAGGAGAAAGAGTGTGAAGAAATCCAACCTTTGCACTGCTCAACATTAAATATGGTTCATGTCCCTGGGTTAGCTGTGGAAGGTAGAGATTTGTTCCCTATGACAAGGAAGCTGAGAGTCAATAATCATGTGGAAAGAACCCTTAGTCATTTATTTCTCCTTAAGTCTTTCAGGAAACAATGGAGCCTTGGATTTCTCTACATGGCAGCTGAGTGCTGCCCCTAGCGAAAAACTCCCTGCTGCCTTCCTGGCCCAGGGGAATGCCTGCCAACTCAGCTTGCCCAGGAGTTTGCGGCAGCAATCAAAGCATGTAGGACTACCCACCCGTTTCATGTGCAGGTTCAGATTCCAGCCTCTAGGACCTTCACCCTCTCCCCTCAGATGATACAGCAGCTGCATGTGGGTGTCCCCACTGTCCCTAGGTAAACCCCCCCATAGGACAGGAATGCAGGCTTCTCAGCAAAGGCGATGGTGGCCTATAGTCCTCCAGATGACTGAGGGTGGATGAAATGATTTGGCTGTGTCCTCACCCAAGTCTCATGAACTGTAGCTCCCATAATCCCCATGTGTTGTGGGAGGGAGTTGGTGGGAGGTAATTGAATCATGCGGACGGGTTTTTCCCATGCTGTTCTCATGATAGCGTCTCACAGGATCTGATGGTTTTATCAAAGACAGTTCCCCTGCGCGCACTGCCTGTCTGCCACCATGTAAGACGTGCCTTTGCTTCTTCTTCACCTTCTGCCATAATTGTGAGGCCTCCCTGCCCATGTGGAACTATGAGTCCACTGAATCTCTTTCCTTTATAAATTACCCAGCCTTGGGTATGTCTTTATTAGCAGCATGAGAATAGACTAATACAGTGGAGGAGAGTCCCAAATAAAATCT